TAAAAATAAAATATATTTCGTTGGTGATTTTTCAAATTAAAAAGATAGAAAATAATTTGTTTAAATTTAACAATAAAATTTAACTAAATAGATAATTAATTAAAACTTGTCGCTTGAGCAAATCATATACATAATATTTTTTATTTTTTTAATTAGAAAAATCATTAACAGAATTTTTTTATAAAAATAAATTTCAATAGAACCGATCGTAATGGAATCTGTTTAAGCAAATCTCGTTCAGTGCTTGATAGAGTTCAGATTCCCCAATAGTACCAAACTCTTGTTATTCATTATAAAATATAAATAATCTTTTTTAAATGTACGTACTTTTTTTTTGTAAATATAGATAATTTTTTGGTATATTTGTTTCATTTTATAGATGTAAATACGTTACATAATTATCGTAGTTCACACAATGATAAAGATATAGTAAATTTTGTGGAGCGTTTCAAATGTTACATATTTGAGTGACACAAAATACCAAGTTGAAAAGTAAATCTTGAACAATGTCGTTTAAAAATAGATCTTGTACGAGGTTTAAGGTTGGGTGTATTTGGGCATGCGATTTCCAATGATAAACATAATCAAATAGAGGATAAACATCTCATTTTAAAATATAAAAAATCTAAAATATAATTAGGATAATTATCGAGTTATAACAAAATAATTAATTATTATTTTTATAAAAAAATTATATTATTAAACCAAATATAAATTATTTCGTTATTGAACCTAAATCTATACTATATTATAAAGCATTTGACAAAAACTCTTAATTTTTTTATGCATGAAGTACTGTATATTGATGCATATTACTTAAAATTCAAGATTACAAGTAAATTGTGTATAAGTACAACTTATTAAAGCATGTTTGAATTCACGTACTAACTGCGGATAAACATAACCAATTAGAAGATAAACATCTCATTTTAAAATATAAAAAATCTAAAATATAATTAAGATAATTATCGAGTTCTAACAAAATCATTAATTATTATCCTTATAAGAAAATTATATTATTAAACCAAATATAAATTACTTCGTTATTAAACTTAAATTAAATTATAATAAAAAAATTGAATTAAAAAATTACACAAAAAATAGGAATTTTAAATAGTTAATTTGATACTAATATCGATATATTTTTGTCAAAATTTTATGATATTTTTAAGTTTATATTTTATTCAAAAATAAAAACATCATCGTTTTTTCAAAATCATATAAGACCATACTATAACATCTAACGAGATAAAGAATAAAATGAAATATTAATATCAAGATATAGCTCGCTGCATTGCGTGAGTACCCTTCTAGTATATTATAAAACATTTGACAAAAACTCTTAAAGACCATTTTTATGCATGAATTACCGTTTATTGATGCATATTACTTAAAATTCAAGATTACAAATAAATTGTGAGCAAGTACAACTTATTAATGCTTCATGTTTAAATTCGTGTAACTAACTGCAAATAAACATAATCAGATACAAGATAAACATTTTATTTCAAATATAAAAAATCTAAAATATAATTAAGATAATTATTGAAAACTAACAGAATACTTAATTATCATCTTTATAAAAAATTATATTATTCAATTAAAAATAGATTACTTCGTTATTAAATCTAAATTAATTTATAATAAAAAATTGAATTAAAGAAATTACACAAAAAAACAAGAATTTTTAAATAGTTAATTTGATACTAACATTAATATATTTATTTTTGAAATATTATTATATCTTCAAATTTATATTTTATTCAAAAATAAAAACATTATTTCTTTTCAAAACCACATAAAAACCGTATTAAAACATCTACAGAAACGTAATAAAAGAAAAACATTAAAATCGAGATATATCTCGTTGCAT